CCCCAAACCGTAAACCCTAAAGCCCTTAGAATCAGGATGGTGCGCTCCCCGGGGACATCCTTTCTGGTCAACTTCTTGAAGACGATGATGGGCGATGAGTTCCCCCGAAACCTGGCAGTTCTGGATACCATTTTGTGCATGTTGGTTTAGGGNNGTTTAGGGTAAAGGGTTTCGGGTTTAGGGTCTAGGGCTTAAGGTTTAGTTAGGGCTGTTTAGGGGAAGATAAACGTTTCCGGAACCTTGTCTTAACAGCTGCGTAGGTGGTGTCCTTTAACTTATCGGTTTATACACTCAGCCCTCAGCCCTGAACGCTGTACAGTACGCCCTAATCCTAAGCCCCTACACTCCTACACCCCAAGCTCTTTTGTGGCGGAGGGTGGAGAAGGGACCTCAGGAAGAAGAGTGTTCACCATTGGTTCGGGACTGTGGCACTCAAAATGCAGGATCTTTGTCGGTTAGTGAGTTCTGTTTTAGATTTTAGCGATTTAAGATTTATTGTTGAGCGGCTTAGGCTTAACATTTTGTTTAGGGTGTTTAGGTTTTTCATGTTGAAGCGTTTAGGATACCGTGGAATGTATGTTGCCACGGCCAACGCTGGTGCTAACATGTTGTTTTGTAGATCATGGAGCTGCAGGCATGCAAGCACCATGAAGATAGCGATGGTGAGGATGATCAACCACGTATATGCTATTTTTTCGGTGTCAGGAAGACCGAGGACACCATCAGCATCAACACCTGCATCAGCATTAGACTCAGTCTATCAACCATCAAGGTACTTAGAGGATCATGGGACTTAGTAATTAGGGTTATAACTCAGGTAGCCATACTTATGATTAGTTATAACCCCACTTAAGGTACTTATAACCCTACTTACTAAGTCCCATGGTCCTCCAAGTATTGACCTTCGTTTTACCCCGAGTGTTTCGCAAGCTCAATAGACAGGCTTGAGAATCCGTGAGCCGAATGCACGAGATGAAGAGATGTGCTTTCTCGTTTTGCAGCCCTAAACCCTGAACACTGATCGAAAGGGTCCTATGTACCTATACAGTAGTAGGGTTTCTAAAAGAGGAATTACTTTTATGATTTAGGCATGTCTTCCCCGTAACAGTACATAGGACCTTTTTCTGTAATTCGTGTAAACCCTAAACCCAAAACTCTATAAGCTCTAAACACTAACCCAGACCCCAAAAAGGATCTAAAAAGTAGATCCCCTAATCTGGGACCCTAACTACTAAAGGGTATTTTATAGGAACCCGCTTAGGGGATCTTTTTTTTGGATCCTTTTGGGGGTCTGGGAACCCAAGGCACCTACTCGGAGGATGACTTCGCACGGTGGTTCAGTACCTTGCATCCGCCAACTCCGACCATTGTTGGCGAGGCACTGCCCGCAGGGGCCCCGACGATGGCAAACAAGTCTCCGGGCCCATTTAAGGGCTTTGGGTTTCGGGTTTAGGAGGATTTAGGGTTAACCCTAAACCCTAAACCCTAAACCCTAAACCCTAAACCCTAGGAGGGTGTAGGGTTAAGCCCAAAATCCTAAACACTAGAAGCCGAGATCTTTCGGGTTCAGGGTTGTAGGGTTTTGGGCTTAGGGCTCAGGGTTCAGGGCCTTTTGGCTTAGGGCTCAGGGTTTACGGTTTAGAGTTTGGGTTTAGGGTTTGGGTTTAGAGTTCGGGTGATCGGCCACAGCACTCAGTCGGCGTAGGCTACTTGGAGGTTCATGGGTAGTTGTGAGTGGAGTTGTAAGTAGGGTAGCGACAAGTTTAGCTCATTGTCGGGGACTTGCAACCCCGCGCATAACTACACATGAACCTCCAAGTACTTCCTCTTCTAACACCTCGGCATCTCCATGTCAATCAGGAAGCCTCTTGCGTTTAGTTGCAAAGGTTTGGGGTTTAATTAGGGGTTTAGATTTTAGGTTTAGGGCTTAGGGTGAGCGCCGCAGCAGAATATACCCCAAAGCCTTGTTACAAGTATTACGGCCCTGTACCCCTGTACTCCACCTGACACCCCCAAGTCAGAACGAACTCTAACCCTGAACCCTACAAACCTTAACCCCCCAAGCCCTAAACCTATAAACCTTAAGCCCCGAACCCTAAACCTGAACCCCCAAACCCTAAACCCCCAAACCCTAAACCCTAAACCTTCAACCCTAAACCCTAAACCCCTAAGCCCTAAACCCCAAGACCCTAAACCCTAAAAGCCTAAACCCTAAACCCCTAAGCCCCAAGACGCTAAACCCTAAAACCCTAAACCCTAAACCCCCAAACCCTAAACTTTCAACCCTAAACCCCTAAACCCTAAGACCCTAAACCCTAAAACCCTAAACCCTCGGCCCCTAAGCCCTAAACCCCAAAATCCCTCAACCGAGCTCAGGTATGGTGTCTTTGGTGCCAAGGCGCTCACACGAGGAGCTCCTAGCTGAAGCAAAGAGCACGGTTTAGGGTTCCAGGGTTTAAGGATATAGGGTTTAGGGTTGAGGGTTTTATTTGGGTCCAGGGTTTAAGGGTATAGGGTTTAGGGTTGAGGGTTTTGGCGGTTAGGGTGTAAGGGTATAGGGTTTAGGGTTGAGGGGTTTTGGGGTTCAGGGTTTAAGGGTGAAGGGTTTAGGGTTGAGGGATTTTGGGGTTCAGGGTTTAAGGGTGTAGGTTGTAGGGGTTAGGGTTTAAGGGTATAGGGTTTAGGGTTGAGGGATTTTGGGGTTCAGGGTTTATAAGGGTTTAGGGTTCAATGTAGAGTTCAGGGGAACAAATAATAGGGCTCTAAAGCCGGGCATTCTCCCTGAAGCAGGAGTTCCAGGAGATGAAAACTACACACCGGCTGCCTGCATTGATGCGGAGACCAGACCCGCGTCGCCCTGTGAAGCGACGGGGGAGTGTCAAGATTTGCAGGACGATCGAGATTAGGGTTCAGGGTTCCGGGTTTTCTGCTTAGGGCGGGCTTCTACAGTATAGGATGTCAATGGGAACTGGCTTTAGAAGGCTTTTGGGCTTTGGTTGCGGGGACCCTAAACCCTAAAACCCTAAACCCCAAAGCCAAAACTCTAAAACACTAAAACAGGAAAACCCTAAAACCGTAAATCTAAACCCTCAATTCCCAAACCCTAAGCCCAATTGTAAGGATGCGGGTTTGAGGTTTAGGGTGTACCCTTTCGGGCTGAGCGTCCAGAGGTTCCGGGTGCAGGCTTAAGGGATACATGAGACTTAGAAGAACAAGGCAAACAGGTGTGTATATATATATATATATTATACATGTTATATACATAAATATATATATATATATATATATATATTATTATTATTATTATTATTATTATTATTATTATTCTTATTATATATTTTATATTACATTATATATTATAGGTTGTTGAGTCTTATGGAAAAAACTTGCAGTATGTGGTCTTCTTGTTCTTACCATGCGGCCGTCGGCGCCTCCGCCAGCAGCAGCACCACCACCGCCGCCGCCACCACCACCACGACGACGACTACTACTACTACTACTACTACTACTAGTACTACGGTTGATGGAGGAAATCTTGCACCGCCTATTTAATAGCAAGTGACACGACACA